CTAGTGTAAAACTAGAAATTCTGTTGCGCCCAATCTGGTTTATCATGCTTCTTGTACAAATTGCTCTCATAATTCTACTTAAAACGATTCAAATTGGATGTGCTGCCAAGGGTATTAAGGATTTTTCTTTTGCCTTCAAGTTCCAATTTTTATCCAGTATTGCTGCAGATTGTTGTGATGGGAGTGATGAGTTGATGGTAGCATCCATTGTCCCAATACATGTGTCATGGGTGGAAATGTAGAATACAGATCTGATCCAATCTCTAGTGGGGCAAAAAAGACAAAGGATGGAGTGAAGTTAGAGGAGTTAGTTTATAACCTTACTGGTAACTTTTTCATCCTAGAGAGTTTTCACATTACTTTTTAAACCTATATATAAGTAAATATGTCTTTAAATTGTCTGATTTCAGCACTGAAGGTGGCTATTATTCTTCAACTGGTTCTGGTTATTTTTGTTGTCATTCTCTGGTGTTTTCATTGCCGTAAGAGATATAGAAGGAGGTATTACCGTTGAACAGATGTTGTCCTTATTGTTTGCCTATTTTAAACCCCAGGTAAAATTCTAAAATACTTTTGCTCCGTTTTCCATTTCTTATTTTTTTTGCCCGATTTTAATTATTGTTTCCTATTCTTCCATATGAGCTGATGTCAGGACTCATTTCATAAATTGGGAACTTCATGACACAATTTTCAAGGCAAGCAAAAAGGGGGAACATAAAGAAAGAAAAGAAGAAAAGAAGCTGATCAAAAAATCTAAGATATTATTAGAATTTAGATATTTGGGCAACATGTAGAAAACCTAATTTGATGGGTTATGACATTAAGATATGAAATGAATAACCTCGCCAATTATGCTATTCAATTGGATTAAACATCCCAATGTCATTGAGGTCCTAGAGTTAAATTGAGGAACATATGTTAATAGTTTTGTTTTCCATTACACTTCTCTTTGATCATCATTCATGACCCCCTTATCTCCAACTGCTGTCATTTTTTGTGTATCTTTTTTATTTTCTTTTTTACTGTAAACTTTTATCTGCAAAGGATGGTATGAGAGAGAAGTTATTTATTGACTTTGTATATGCTAATTGTGTTGTCATTTTACCATTTAAAGGTGTCATTGTGCATGACATGATGGGGAAAAAGTGATATTTTATGAATGCACACAGCTGCATCTTCTACCCTTTTTTCTCTCATCACATTATGTTCACTCTGTGTATGCCATACTTATCCTTGTAAGTTGCATCCCTTTACCTCTTGATAAACAAAATCATCTCTGTAGGTTCTTTTTTTGTTTTGCCCCAAGTTGCATCTGTACTACATTGGTCTGCCAAGATGGTGATCAAAGCAGCCAAGCTCTGCAGTGATATTCTCCTTCACTTTTGTCCTTACTTAAAACAATGCCCTTCGCTTTTCTGGGTTCCTTTATTACAAAGGCTTGATCAAGCTGTTACAGCTGAATTAGAAGCCAAAAACTATGGGAAAAAATGACTGACTTCATTTCCCTTGAGTCCTGCTGAACTGCTTGTCCTTATTCATTTTGTTCTTGATTTCCTCCTAAAATAATAGTGCAAATTTCTTTAAAAAATCTTGCAATCTTCTGTACCTCAACCTCATGATAAGGCATCAATAGCCTATTCCTGTATTTTTTCTTACACTCTCCAAAGATCCCATCTCTTTCACTCTGGTCTTGCCATACTTTAAAGGACTCAAGTTTTGGTTGCCTTTCAGTTCCTCAAAAGAAAACCCATGTTTTCTCCTCTCATCTGCTTGGCTGGACTGTTAACGTCAGTCCCATTTGATTTTGTTAGAGCTCTGCTCTAAAGTAACTAATAGAACCAAGCTTTCAATGCAAAGAGAAATAAATGAGGGAAATTCTGAGGTTTTTGATATTAATGCATATGAACTGAATCAGTGTTACAAGAGAAACTCACTGATTCTAGCCAAAACCCTATTCCCAACAACTGAAATTACAAACTAAATGGAAGAACACAGCAACAAGAAAAGGTCTCTCACTGGTGTTCGAGAGACCAGCACTCTCCTCACTTCTGTCTAACTTCTCTAAAACATCCTTGAGTGCCAACAAAAATAATACAGCCAAATAAAGCAAGCAAAAAGGTGACTTCAATATCGAGACTAAATCTAAGCCACCCTACTAAAACATCATGGCATAATCCTTCTTTTCTGGACCCTCAGGATATTAATCCTAACCCAATGGGTATTTCCTTTCTACACCCAACTGCCCCCTTGATCTCCTCTTATAAGTCTGACCATATCTCACGGTCACATCATTTCCTGCCTCTAAGAGTCTCACCTTGTCCTCAAGGGGAAAATCTGGAAATTGGAGAGAAATGGTGTCAGCTGTCTCCCATGAATTCTCAAACTCGGGTAAATCTCTCCATTTCACTAAAACCTCCAGCTGGCCTGTCATAAGTTTCCGAACCTTGCATATGTCTTGAGGCTGTACCTGTAGCTCCAATTCTGCAGAAAGTGCTGGTGGTATAGTAGGAGTGACAATAGCTGAACAAACTGATTTTTTGAGTTGAGAAATGTGAAAGACTGGGTGAATGCGAGCTGTGGAAGGAAGTTCCAGCTTGTATGCGACCTGTCCAATCTGCTCTATGATCTTGAAGGGGCCATAGAAACGAGGGCTGAGTTTCTCATTAAGTCTTTTGGCTAAAGATTTCAGCTTGTAGGGTCTGATTTTGACATAGACTAAATCTCCAACGTCCAGCTATATCTCTCGCCTATGTTTGTCAGCTTGCTTCTTCATTCTTTCTTGCGCCACAGTGAGGTTTTCCTTTAAAATGGCAATAATGGAATTCCGGGACTGAATCTGTTCATTGACAGCTTCAATGCCTGACGGTTCCCCATTCAGCTTAAAAAAAGTAGGAGGGTCCCGTCCGTACACCGCCTTAAAGGGTGTCATTCCAGCAGCCCCATGATGAGTTGTGTTGTACCAATACTCAGCCCAAGGTAACCATTGCGCCCATTGGGTTGGTTTCTCACTGGTGAAACAACGCAGGTAAGTTTTTAAGCTCCTGTTCAAGACTTCGGTTTGGCCATCAGATTCCGGGTGGTAAGCAGAGCTAAGACAAAGCTGAGTGCCTGCTTGCTTAAATAATTCCTTCCAAAACTGACTTACAAACACCCTATCCCTATCTGACACAATTGTTTTTGGAAACCCATGCAATTTAACAATGTCATTAATGAATCTTTCAGCAACTTCTTTTGCTGTAAATGGGTGGGTCAAAGCCAAGAAGTGGGCATATTTTGTCAACCTATCAACAACAACAAGTATGACGTCATGTCTTTTGGATTTTGGAAGTCCTGTAATGAAATCCATGCTAATATCTTCCCAAATTTGTTGAGGAATCGGCAAGGGTTGTAACAGCCCAGCTGGAGTTAATGCTTGATATTTGTTCTTTTGGCACACGTCGCACTGTGACACATATTGTTGGATATCTTTTTTCATGCCTTCCCAATATACAACAGTAGAAAGCCTCTTGTAAGTGCGCAAATAACCCGAATGGCCTCCGGTTGGTGAATCATGAAATTCCTTCATGAGCAATTGAATTCTGGTAGACTTCTTTGGTAGCATCAATCGTCCTTTATAGTGTAGACAACCCTTCACAAGGCTGTATCCCTCCAAATTTCCTTGCTTGGTAATGACTTTTTGCAGTATATCATTTAACTTAGGATCAGCATGTACTTCTTTCTCCCATTCTTCAAGGTCACCTTGCTGCCATAAAGAAAAACCATGTATCTCCAGATTTTCTTCTTTCCTTGAAAGTGCATCCGCTGCACGATTTTCCTTGCCCGGTTTGTAAGCTATTTCAAACTTGAACCCTATTAATTTAGTGATCCAGTGCTGTTGACTTTCTTCTACAATTCTCTGTTCCAGCAGAAACTTCAAAGCTTTCTGATCTGTCCGGATGACAAATTTCTCCCCCCATAAGTAGTGTCGCCATTTCTTGACCGCCATAACAATTGCCATAAGTTCCCTCTCATAAATGGAACATTGTTGAGCACGGTTAGAGAGCTTTTGGCTGAAATATGCCACTGGACGGCCATTCTGCATCAGCACTGCTCCTATTCCAGACCCGGAAGCGTCTGTTTCCAACTCAAACGGGATGGAAAAATCAGGCAAAGCTAGTACTGGGAGAGAAGTCATGGCTGTCTTGAGACTTTGGAAGGCTTCTTCAGCTTTTGGGGTCCATTTAAAGGCATCTTTCTTAAGTAAATCGGTGAGAGGACTAGCGATTTTTCCATAATTCTTGACAAATCTTCTATAATACCCTGTCAACCCTAGGAACCCTCTTAAGGATTTCACATTCTTGGGTTTAGGCCACTGCACCATACTCTCAATTTTGCTGGGATCCGCTTGCACTCCCTCCTTGGAAATGATATGCCCAAGATATTCAATTTTTGGTTGGGCGAAAGTGCACTTCTTAAGGTTGATCACTAGCTGGTTCTCTTTCAGGATAGACAAAACAGCTTTCAAATGTTTCAAGTGAGATGTTAAATCATGGCTATAAATAAGTATGTCATCAAAAAATACAAGCACAAATTTCCGAAGATGCTCTCGGAATATCTCATTCATTAAAGATTGGAATGTGGAAGGAGCATTGGTTAAACCAAAGGGCATTACCTTGAATTCATAATGTCCCTCGTGGGTTCTAAATGCTGTTTTATGTTCATCTCCAGCCATGATTCTGATCTGATGGTATCCGGACTTCAAATCCAGCTTGGTGAAGATGGCGGCTCCTTTTAACTCATGTAACAACTCATCTATAGCCGGTATGGGAAACTTGTCAGGCACCGTGATTTTGTTCAAGGCTCTATAGTCCACACAGAATCTCCAGCTTCCATCTTTTTTCTTAACCAACAAAACTGGACTTGAATAAGGACTTTGACTGGGCTGAATGATACCTGCTCTCAACATATCTTTCACCATCTTCTCAATTTCATTTTTTTGAACATGAGGGTACCGATACGGCCGTATGTTAGGAGGTTGTTCGCCTGGTTTGGTTGCTATTGCATGATCATGAGAACGAGTTGGTGGTAACCCTTCAAAAGGTCGACAAACTATAGAGAATTGGTCCAGGAGGTTCTGAATTTCAGGCGCCAATTTTATAGTTTCAGCTGTTGTTTCTTCATTATTCATCCCATTATATTCGATCATGTACCCCTCCCCTCTCTTCTATACGGATCGAATAAATGACTTAAGGAAAACCAAGGCCTTGGTTAGAGCGGGATCACCTTGTAAACACACCTTGTTTCCTTTCTTACCAATCTTCATGGTCAGTTGCCCCCAAGTTAACCTTCACTTCTCCTAAAGATTTTAACCATTCAACTCCTAGTACAACATCTACGCCACTGAGTAGAAAGGGGTAGAAATTTTGAATAATGTCCAGGCCTTGTACCTGTAACTTGAGGTCATTGCAGCGTTGCTTCCCTTTAATACTAAACCCATCCCCAACAGTGATAGAATAGACGGCAATGTCCTCCACTGGAATTTTTATTTTAGTGACTAATTCCTCAGCTATGAAGTTGTGGGTAGCCCCACTATCAATCAAAATCACAATCTCGGCTTTCTCTAGTCTCCCACGTACCTTCATAGTGCGATTCCCTCCAAACCCAACTATGGAGTTTAGTGATAACTCCATTCGAGTTTCATCTTCTTCGGCTTCTTCACTATCTTTAGTGCATATTGGTTCATGGCCTTCGATTCCCTTCTCGGGCTCTAGCTCCAGCAACATCACTTGCAGATTTTTATTTTTGCAGATGTGATTAGGTCCGAATTTATCTGCACATTTGAAACACAAACCAAGCTCTCGCCGACGAGTTAATTCCACGTCTGACAGTCGCTGGGTTCGTCCCCCTGGACGCGACGACGCTGTTCCTGTCGTGTTGCTCGCTACTTTTGAGTCTGCCGTTTTTGTCTTAGCCCGTTTCTGGAGTCCCGAGTGTATTGAAGAGGTGTGCATGCTTTTACTGGGCTCAGCCACATGAGTGATCCGTGTGAAAGGAGTTTGGGCTGATTCATTTTTAAGCCCACTTTGAAAACGCTGGCCTCGCAGAAACCGTGAGTCTTTGGCCTTCTCTATTACCTGATTCCTCTCATCCACCCTAATAGACATCTCCATAATTTCTCTAAGGGTACTGGCGGCCGTGAGCTTTAATTCAGCCCTTATCTCTGGTTTTAGTCCTACACGAAATGCTCCCCCCACACACGATTCTGATGCGTCTCCCACCATAGCTGATACGCGTTCGAACTCCTCCACATACTCGCGCACAGAACGCTCCTGTTTGACTGCAAACATCATCTCATATTCATCCCCAAGCTATGAGGGATGGAATCGACGCAGAAGTTCTTGCTTGAACTCTGACCATTCTCGGATAGGTGCTCGAGTTTCCACCCATTGATACCAGTTAAGAGCCTTACCTTCGAGGCACACGATGGCTGCTTCCAGTCTCTCCATTTCAGCCACAGCATTGATTCGAAAATACCTTTCCACTCTGAAAAGCCACCCAATAGGGTCTTCTCCATCAAATATTGGTAACTGCAGCTTCCTGTACTTCCCTACTTCTTTTCATGATCTCCGGTGCTTCCTGTAGTCTCTTCATGGCTGGGTTGATCTTGTTCAGGAGGTTGGTCTGCACTTTTCTGTTTCTCTGCTATTTGCTCTAATTTATCTTGCATCGTCTGCATCATCTCCTTCATCATGATCATTTCTTTCGATAGTCCTCCAACAGATTCTTTCAACTCTTGTACCTCGGAATTGGAGTACTGCACTCTTTCGGCCATCTCTCTTGCGCTTATTAGAAGGTCCGAGGATTGCACGGCTCTGATGCCAATTGTTAGAGCTCTGCTCTAAAGTAACTAATAGAACCAAGCTTTCAATGCAAAGAGAAATAAATGAGGGAAATTCTGAGGTTTTTGATATTAATGCATATGAACTGAATCAGTGTTACAAGAGAAACTCACTGATTCTAGCCAAAACCCTATTCCCAACAACTGAAATTACAAACTAAATGGAAGAACACAGCAACAAGAAAAGGTCTCTCACTGGTGTTCGAGAGACCAGCACTCTCCTCACTTCTGTCTAACTTCTCTAAAACATCCTTGAGTGCCAACAAAAATAATACAGCCAAATAAAGCAAGCAAAAAGGTGACTTCAATATCGAGACTAAATCTAAGCCACCCTACCAAAACATCATGGCATAATCCTTCTTTTCTGGACCCTCAGGATATTAATCCTAACCCAATGGGTATTTCCTTTCTACACCCAACTGCCCCCTTGATCTCCTCTTATAAGTCTGACCATATCTCACGGTCACATCAGATTTCTAATATTTTACTAGGGATGCAATCAATCTGACATCTTCTGGAGTGTGGAACGGGTAATTATCTATTGTCTACTATGATTACTTAGTGCTGTCCATCAGTTTGCGGAGGCTGCTATGTATTACTGTTGGAAATGATTTGGGCAGATTGGGAGTAAGACAGGGTTTGGCCAGCGGTTACCTGTGGAAAATAGCTTGTGCAGTGTAACGTATTTTTACAACACCTGGATCTTTGCTGTTATTTACAGAGCTGCCAATAAAATTCCTAAAGCTGAACAGGCTAACTACACATAGTAGAAACTGTGTTGTGAATAAGGTGTCATCATCCCTAAAATCACCCCCAAGGAGGACAAGCCTTTCTCTTTGAAGCTTGGAAGTGCAATACTAAGGTCGTGCCTTTGCAAAAGATTGAAGTTAGGTTTTGTTTAGTTTTTTTCGTGCGAGATAAGGCTTTTTCTTGTTGTTGTTGTTGTTTTATCATGTGAGAAAGACTTAGCATACGAGTGATGGAATTTATTCTTCACTGTCTGGTTAAAATTCTAATTTCTTTGTACAAGTGCCAAGAGAAATTTGGCAAGTTTATTGTTATAGCTGGAAAATGATAAAGGTTTTATGTATAGTACCACATTATGAGTTGCTGTCCTTGCAGAATAATTAGTTCGTGACTTCTATATGTTCAGTGAACTTTCTGATTATTATTTATTTCATTCTGTCCATCATAACTTCTAGTCTGCTTGATAAGCCTAGCCTACTTATTTTAATGGACTAATTGCGTTATTTTACTCTGCATTTCATCGGACACCTTATTATTTGACAGGGTAGCTTGGTAGCATGGCAATGCCACAAATGCCCCTTTTATCCATAGCATCACGCTTCATCTTAACGTAACCAGATTCACCCCACTCTTCACCCCAAGAATTCTTCACAAGCCAGTACTTCTGACCATCTTCTTTGCCATACCCGACTATTGTTACTCCGTGATTGAGGTCCTTTCTGCATGTGCCATTGAAGATACCTTTAGAATAAAGTTGAAAGTAATAGCTACCTGCATCAATTGCTACGGAGACAGGCTGATGAGCAGCTGCAGCTTTCAGTTTCTCCTCATTGTTGGCAGGAACATTTTCATGGCCACTTATATTTACAGCATGATGAGCAGCTTTGACTTTATCACAGGTACCGTCTGTCCCTTTATAAGGATAGTCTTTCTCAGTGGTGATCCCTCCATTCTTCTCGATGAAAGTAAATGCTTTGTCCATGTAGCCACCTAGGCAGCCTAGGTTCCCACCATTAAAATCACAGTCTACAAGTTCTTGCTCAGACAAAGACACCAACTTCCCTGTCTTTATTTGGTTGATGCCTTCTACAGCTGCCACTGCAGAGAATGCCCAACAACTTCCTGCATCAAAAGGTTTGTGCCATGATTTACTTCTCAGCTGGCTCCGAGATTCAAAACATACTCAAAAATAAATGAATGAATGAATGAATGAATGAAGTATTAGCAACCGAAATCAGCATTTGATAAATATCAGCAGACTACAAGGATCTCTTCATATATTTTGTTAAGGATCTCGGTTACTTTTGTTCATGCCTCCATGCTCTTATATATCTTATATGCTTGTTTCGTGTATTATGATATTCAAATATTTGGGGAATGCATGGTAATAGTGTACTTGTTTGTTCTTGGGTTCTTCTAAACCATGAACTTGTTTTTGCAAGAAACTTTACCGCATTGGCCTTGATCTTTGATGGGGGTGACTGCACCTCTCTTCCTCCAATCTATGCTTTCTGGCAACGCCCCATGCTTTTCATACCGGAATTGTGTCTGTAATTGCTGTGTAGGTCGAGAACCAAGATATTTACTTCTAAACTCGTCGTTTGTAATGTCAGCAAATCTGTTGTCTGTGAGCTTATAGGTGTAATTCTGGGCGTTGACGCACTCAATAAACCTGATATTGGCTTGGTAAATGCGAAAATGGGCTTCCCATTCTTCCTTATCCTCGTATTGTCGGCCATGTCGTTTCAGCCAACCTTCATACCTCTTCCTGACCACTTCTGTCTCAGTCTCGTCACTCTTGGAAGTGTTAGGACATACCCCTCTCGCTGCTGTTATCCATAAGTTGCAGAACAAAGTAAGAAGATAGAAGATAACAATGGGGGATGTTGTGGTTGTCTTCATGACTGGCTAATTATGCGGATGTAGTATGAGAGGGTATGTACATGATACGTGCATGAATATTTAATATATGCGGTAGCAGTATGCTGCGAGTTTTGCATTCTTTACACATCTTGCTGTTCTCATTCCTTTCGCACTCGAGAGTTTTAACAAGGCAAGACTGCATATTTCATCTTCTCCTCTGCGTGGCTAGAAAGATGCTTAGGTTGTAACTTGCTTATGGTTTTCTAACCCAAAAAAGATCAATATAGACAGAACCCGCACGTTTGAATGTCTGATTAGTATTTCCTTCTATCATTGTATATTCCAGAGTTGGTCAGTGCATCTCATATTTGGTTAAGCTGTAATGCGGACAACCTGAGGATTTTAGAATTCGTCAGTTAAATACAAAGATCGGAATGAATCAGTGTTATTTCTCCCCGAAACGAAATTGATTACCAGAAACGTCCCCTGTAAGCACTATCAACCCACTAGAACAATTTGGTTGAGTTGATGATCAAAAACTCATGAACAGCATATATTTATCTATATATATATATATATATATATTGTGTTACAACTTCTCCCAGAAGTCCAGGTCTAAGAGTTGCCGTCTGAGGTTGTTAACTTTCATCCAAAAGCCGTGGCAATGATAGTGACAAAATCAAATTTTCAATTTGGCCGTTTGGCGCAGAAGGGAATGATGAAGATTACGTGGGCATGTGAATATGTTTTGACTCTGTTCCCCTGAAAATGTCGAAAGCCCGTATATATTAAAACTAGCGAGTGCCTTGGTTTTCAAGCTAGCTATAACCAACAAGTAGCTTTAATACCAGCATGCGTCTCTTGTGCATCGCGGCCGCTATACATCAAATGACTGCCACCGTCATCCTCTACACCAAACAAGTTCAATATATGTAATTCTCTCCCAATAAAACTGATTGACAATCGGGCTTAGAATGTTTTTTTTTTTTTTAAGTAGTATATGTATAAACGTACTTTTTTATTATATTAGAAACTGGTCTGCATTAGATCTCGTCTTAGATCAGTATAAAAGTAAGCCCCAAAAAACGAAGAAAGAAGAAGAAGAAACAGAGAGGGGGGTGGAATTAGAGATTAACTGTAAGTTCTGGGTTCTAAAAACCACAATTATGAACCAAAACACATGTCCATTCTCCAAAGACTAATACTATTCAATTAATCATGTATGCAACAGATGATGAGTTAGATAATTAGCCAACCAGATCGCTTTAACATATTTAATGAACTTCAAGGCATTACATTTCGTGGGGATTCCCCTTGTTCAGGATTAGTTGGGATTCTTCATATTCTAACATGCTGAAGGCAAACACAACTCAATATGATTGTGCAATTTTGATTAATTTACCAGTTTCCGGGGGCACTTTTCGTCATCATTTTTCAAAAGAAAGAGGTCTGAATGTGTTGGCATGTTTTGAAATCATATGTAGCATGTAATTAAATACACTGGCAGCTGCCATAAGCTCAGATTCTACTTATGCTACAACTTAAGAAATTGCTTGACTAGACTAAAAATTAAATCCACTAAATTTGAAGCGAAAATATCTTGCAAAATTCAAAACATGCATGTGTCTCAGTAATGGTGAGAGTAGGAGAGAAGAGAAAGTAGGGCCCGGATGAGAAGAGTGGGAGCCCACAAACAGAGATGCCAAATGGTAATAAATAAATTAATAATGACAGTGATAGTCCATGAAGATGCCCTGTGCTGGCAGGCAATTGCTTGATTACAGATCAAGGAGAAAACATAAATAAATACGAACATGCATATCTACATATAGTATGTATGTAATAAATAGACGCTTTCCTGATCTGTAATCACGATTAGGGCCTTGTCAAGCTCTTTTGTGTATCAATTAAGAACTCGAAAAATTCCAATCCATGGAAGAAGATGCCTAGAAGCGCGCGCAGGAGAGAGAGAGAGAGAGAGAGAGGGCATATACCCTACATGTGGGAATGGTTTGGAGACAAAGGAAAGAAAGCGTAGAACTTGCAAACAAATCACATGGGAAGAGAGAGGAGGGCATTCTCTTTCACAGCTCATATCCATAAAAATTCTAATTATCTTTTGTTTTCATTCCATCTTTTGGTATCTTGAAAAACATGAGTATTATCAACACTTACTCGAACTAATTCAAACCCTCTATAAGACTATTATTATCAACAATGTACAAAATTTGAACTCGAGAACCAATTGAATCAAGCACCCGGATATTATCTTATTACTCTATCCATACTCTTGATGCTTTTTTAACTTAGTTTATTAATTATTAATTAGTAATTTATTAATGACTCACCCACCATGCATAACTACTCCTCCCAAAGTAATAATCAAATGTTCAACCACATGCATTATGCATACCCCGATCTTGTACTGTTCTCTCTCGTCTGAAGACCACTAATTACCCCTTAATTAGTTGGACCTAATTATTGCCAAACCTTAATTTGGTCCTAATTAATATGTTAAGAGAAAATAAACTTTAATTTAATCTGTGGCATAGGAGGTGAGGATTTCAGGTGCATCCAAAATTTAATTTTATTGCCATTAACCTAGAAAAGATGTCACTTGGATTTCTGCTACGATTTCTCCATATCCCCTTTATCTCACAAAGACGCACAATATGTTATAAATGATTTTTAAATAAAAAAAAGAACCTCTCTTGATTGTGACTCAAAGCTATGAGGAGATATAGGGGGGGAAAAAAAGGCAGAAACGGTTCTAAGTTCTTTAATGGTAGATGACCTGAACCCATTTATTTATTTAAGGCTAAAATACCAATCGTTTTCCATTAAAACAAAATTTCAATATTTATTATATTAAAGATATTTTGATTTTAAGTAAAATTAATGACGAATTTGGAAGAGATGAGTGGGTTCTTCTTTGGTTTTTCCTTTATTTTGAAAGCCAACGTATGTACTTATCCAGTACTTGAAATAGTCAGACAAGTAACTTATGGAATACAGGGAAACAAATTAGACGACCAATTCAAGTATCAAGAACATTTATAAAGTTAATGAGTAAATGATACAGTAAAGTATAATGCACGAAACACCTAAAAGATATTAGACGGATCAAATTATCTAAATATAAACTAAACTCATCTTGTAATTTGAAAAAGGGTAAGTGACAAAGAACCTTTTGTTTTTGTTTTTCTTTTTTTCTTGGGGGGGGTGTTTGGGAAAAAGACCTGAAATTAACTGGCCATAATGCCGCCATTCACATAAAAGGTGGAAATCATAAAAGCTCAGTTGGAATCATTTCCAGTGAAATATTTTCTTAGCTCAAATATTAAAAAAAATTAAATTTTAAGGAAGTTGTATATAACTCATTAATCTTTAAATATTAAAAATTAACTCTTCTAATTTTTGATGTTATTTTTCGAAACCCCTTGCTACTAATTAATTATGCTATGTTGGAATTTTTCACATTAAATTAAGAAAAGCCACACAGAAGCTTATACGTACGGGTGCACAGAGAATGGGCTAGCTATCGTCTCGTTGCTTGGTTCTTATGTAATGAGTACAAGACCAGCCAACCTAGCATAAAATATTAAACAAATTTAAAAATAAAATAATAAATAAAATTTATATACTCAATTATGTCCATCGAAAATATTCTCTTAAAAAAATATCATGTTCAAAAGTAATATTTTTAAAATTTTAAACACTCAATAACACACATTGTTCTGACATAATATTAAGTTTCAAAATCAAATTAAAATTTTAAATAAAAATAATATATTGACCTGTTAAAAGTTTTCATAATAACAACAACAACAATAATTTACTTTTAACAATAACAACAACAATAATTTATTAAGTATGATCTATGAAGGAAAAAAACAATTTCATAAAATGATAATACCAATAAAAATTTAAAATCACACACACACCCGAGGTCAGCAAGATCAGGTTGGACTAAACTCGAAGTCTAGCCCAACCTGATCATTAAGACCAACCTGATCTCTCAAGTAAGATAAGGCTTATTGGGTTAGTTGAACACTCCAACTTATGTGATAGTTTATGAAAGTAAATAATAAATGAATAACTTTTTTGAGTATTTACTTTTATATTAGTTTTAAATATTTACTTTTGTATTGGTTTTATTCATATCTTTTATTATCAATGGTGTATAGTTTTCTTATATCAAATGACAAATTTTTATTTATATAATTCTTATCAATGATAGCTTTTAATGTTTTTCTGTTCATTTGTTTAACATAAAAAAGCTATTTTAATTGATAAAGAATAATAAAATTATAGTTTTTCTCTTAACTTATGTTAACAGTGATAATAAGAACAAAATCACTCAACTAAAAGAATGATAGCATCGTCATGTGTATTAAAAGTAAAAATTATAATTTTTTCTCCTTAAATTGTGTTAGAAAAATTAATAAAAATATTTTCCATATTAGGTGTCATGTGTATTTCATTAAACTGACTTATCAAAATCTATTAATAATATAATAAAGTTAATTAATAGTAGTGAACTTTAAAAAATAAAATTAAAGGTTATAAAAATTAATTTTAAATGTTTAAAAATGAGAAGATCATATACAATAATTTCAAAATTTATGGAAGTTTTATGTATTTTACCCCCTTTTTTTTTATATCCATCCTTTTTAACTCATCAAGCTTACCAACTTAATTAGCTTCCCATATGAAAATTGAAGGATGAATACGGAAAACCAATCAATGAAAAATAAAGGGTTAATTCATTTTCAGGATTTTTAACTTAAATGTAAGGAGGAATATTTTGATCAGATACTTTAACAAAAAAATCAGCAAGAAAAACCAAGGTCCTTAATTGTCATTTTGAAATGTTGGGATCAAATATCATCATCTTGACTGGCTCAGTCCAAAAGTTTCACTTCAAAAACAAAAAAAGTTTAATCTTGGTAGAGTAGGTACCATGTAAGAAAAAAAAAACTTGCTAATGTTGCAAATTAATGTATGCATCAGAGAGTAAACATAGACTAAGAATGTGTTTAGTTGGGAGGAAGGGAAGGGGAGGCCTCCCCTCCTTTGGTTAGGAGGAGGGGAGAGGAAATTTTTAAAATTTTCCTTTCCCTCCCCTCCCCTCCAAATTGAGGGAGAGTTCCCTTTCCATTCCCTCCCCTTGAACCAAACATACCCTAAAAAAGGAGTGCAGTGCAAAAAGTGATATAATACTAACATGGCAAGTGGGATTGTGTGTGTGGTGGTGGAATCAGGATCTTAAATTAAGAGGAAAATGATAAAATTAGGATTCTCAATAAAAGAAAATATTTCTATCTCTTATAAATTAACTATTTCTCTTTCTTCTTTCTTTTTTTTATTCCCTATCCAACTTTTAATTTTAAATTCATAAGTGCAGCGAGCTAACGAAAATATTCAACCAATTTACTCTTGAATTTTGAATTTTCATTATTTATCATTATCTTTTTGTAAATTAGTCTCTGAGTATATTCAGGGTGAGTAGTAGTTTATTTAATCATATTAATTTTTTTTCTATTTTTTAAATAATAAATAAATAATACTTGTAATTGTGAGTCAATATTTATGAAGCTAAGTTAAAAATTTAAATAGATATAGGCTAAAAAGATAAAATTAAAATGAGTTTAAATTTTTAAATGTGAAAATAAGGGAGTGTAAAGTATGATAAATAAAAAATATAAATTGTAAAATATAAAATTTTATACTTTCAAATATGTTATTTTTTTCAAGTGAGGAGGCGTCTTAGAGAGAGGGGGGGGGGGGGGGGCAACGCAGAAGGATACAATACTAACACGGCAAGTGAGATTGTGTGTGTGCGTGAGAGAGAGAGAGAGAGGGGGGAGGGCAACGCAGAAGGATACAATATTAACACGGCAAGTGAGATTGTGTGTGCGCGTGAGAGAGAGAGAGAGATGATTATTACTCCGTCCAGCTTACCATGCATTCCTTGCAGTTCTAAGTATAAACAATCTCTAACCACCTTTTAAAATCAAGAAAAAGAGCATTACATTATTGATTGTGTTTGAAAAATATACTCCTAATTTTATTATTATTTAAATGAAAATTTTTGAATTTGTTTTATATTGTTTCTCATGATTAAAAAAAATTAAATAGCTAAGGATAATATTGAAAAAATATAAGTAATATCCCATTAAGTATCTTATATTAAAGACAAAAATTTTTCTAGAATGTTCCTTATAATAAGAATAGAAGGGAGTAAGCATTATAAATACTTCACTGTTTTTAAAAAAATTAATTAAAACTGTAATATTTTAAATATTATATACTCCTTTCATTCAAAAATATAAAGAATTTTTAATCGAATCTCATCTTAATAAAGTTATTATCTATTTTCAAACTAACCCTGTATTTTTATATTTACCTCTATTAAATATCTCTTGATAAATATAAAGTCATCATCAATGAGGACACTTTAAAAAAAAAGACAATAATTATATTTCAAAAGACTAAAAATATTTTATATTTTAAACATCCAACTCTTAAAAAAGGCCTTACACTGTTTAATGGAAGGAGTATCTTTTTAATTATACTTTCGTTAAATATTTCATATGAATGTCTTAACCAAAAATATTAAAATAGATTCTGTTTTAAAACAATAATAAATGAATTGGGAATATAATTGAAAAAATTATAAAAATTATTTAATATTTTATGTTTTGAACCAAATAAAATTTCTAAAAAAAAGAAAGAAAGGTGATGTCCTGTAGCAGAAGAGGAAAACTCCTCTAGTCCTTACTACGAAGCGCACTCTAGACAAAATTGGTAACCCCTTGATAGAAGGCACTTGAAGTTGGTGGAAGGAAGCATAATTACTTTTTTTTTAATATTACTTCTATTTAAATTTATTAATATGAAAAGAATATAATATGAATTTTAATTTTTAATTTTTTTATGCATGAAATTTTTGTTCAAAATAAAATTAAAATTAAAAATTAATTATATTTTCATACAAAATTAATAATTTAATCATTCTTTCATCAATGCAGATGATTGGAGCAACTAGGACAAGAGAAGTCATCGTTGGAATAAGGAAGAAAAAGAAATGGAGAGAAACTATGATAAGGAGCGACACTAGAGACTAGAGAGGCGGTCACCAGAGCACGTGATGCCTGATTTCATATCCACAGTCATTTAAAAAATAATAATAAAAACTAGTGGCGACTTTGCAGTAACACCGTCGAGACCACACCTCGCTCCCTCCCAGCTGTCGTACAGCTGTCCAATCTCTTGTCTTCCCATGTGACCCCACTCTCTCCCTCCCTCTTTCATTCTGGATTGGCCTTTGATTCTCCCTGTTTTTTTTTTATTTATTCCTTCTTTCTTTCATTGTCCTCTTTTTCTATCCATTTTTTCTCACTCTTACAAACACACTCTACCGCTCCCCCCACCCTCGTATTTTATTTGTGTCTGTCAACTTTGCATCTGCGATAGCTCTCTCTTCTCTCCTTCCTTCTCCCTCAGAAATCCCCGCAGATTTTATCGGGATTTTAAATCACCAAAAATTATTTACTTAATGCATGTCTCGTTGCATTGCTCGCTAAATAAAAATGTTACAAAGCTAGCTTCAATGCCTCTGTGCGCTCCTGCCGCTTCTCCTCCCTCTTCTCGTGGCTTTCTTCCTCCTAACATTAATTCCCTGTGCCTTCTGGGTTTATTTATTTAAGCACCTGTTAGAGCCTCATTCGGTTGGTTCGAGAGGTTACTCTCTGCATGCAAATTGCAAATTTGTAAGTACTTGTATAGCATATTGCTTCTGGGCCTGCCAAAGTTCTCCACGCACGCTTGTGTTTGGTTTCAGTTCGCTGTGATTATCATGTCACAATTGCCTCCCAAGATCCCAAACATGACACCCAATTGGCCTGATTTTCTTCTCATCAGAAGATGCCTTCCCTTGCAAGTTTGTCGCCGAATAATGTAGCTGCCAGCTCAAACACTGCCAATCAAAATCCTTCTTGGGTGGACGAATTCCTTAACTTCTCGTCGGCCCGACGGGGGCGCATCGGCGATCCATGAGCGACTCCATTGCCTTCATCGAGGCTCCAATGCTGGACGATTGTCGCGGTAACCCGGGCATGATTCCTCCGAGGTCTGGGGGTGACAATGAGTTCGACAGATTTGATGATGACCAATTCATGTCTATGTTCACCGACGATTTATCCGGGGCTCCCTTGCCCCCCACCGTCTCGTCCTCGAACCCTTCAAGCCCTTCTGATCATAACAGCATTAATGATGAGAAAGATACCGGCCAAAACGATAACCGACCGGAGGAGGAGAAAAAGAAGGAGCATGACCCAGCAGAAACAATTGAAGAATGAACCGGATGAGGTTGAAAGCCAACACGAGCAGGAAACTCAAGCTGCAAATAACACCAATACAGCTTCTTCCGCTGACAAAATTACTGACCCTAAGAGAGTGAAGAGGTAATCTTGCATTCATCTTAGAGCTTTCTTAGCCCATAACCCAGTGGATGACCATGTCAGATTTTTAAAAGTATACAGATGCCGGGAATGATGTATTAGTATTAGAGTCTTAGCTACATTTTGTTTCCCTTTTTATTCTCTTTTGGATTAAGTTTGCTCGATTCAATAGGTATTATCCGTGTCTTCTGAAGAAAATATCGGAAATGATGTTACGTGCATTAAATCTGTGATTTATTAACTTCTCCTTCTGATGATGTTTTTGCCTTTTCTCATTGACTGCCCCGTGTTATTTAAGGCGAGAACTTCTTTAATCTGCCTCTGATTCTGGTTTTCCAACAGAATCCTGGCAAACAGACAATCTGCACAGAGGTCACGAGTGAGGAAGCTGCACTATATATCGGAGCTTGAACGAAGTGTAACTTCATTACAGGTGCGTTTCTGTAATCCAAACCTTCCAATTAATTTTTTTTTTTTTTAGTTTTACACGGCATGGTTAAAGACTTAAAGTAATGGTTTTTCCATTCCGTTGACCAATGAAGGCCGAAGTTTCAGTGCTATCTCCAAGAGTTGCATTTTTGGATCATCAGCGATTGCTTCTAAACGTCGACAACAGTGCGCTGAAGCAAAGAATCGCCGCCCTGGCCCAAGACAAGATCTTTAAGGATGGTAATATCCTTTTGATTTAAACTATATTATCTACATTACTCGTGGCTAAGAAGCTAACAGAGTTCTTATCTTGTTTACCTATTTCGCTAATGGAGAGGTAATTTATTTAACAAGCAATTAATAGCAAAAATATTCGGCTAGAATATAACTGATCGTACTGTTAAAACATGTTGAAGATATTTCAAGGCTCAAAAAGCTATGAGATCTGAACCTTTCATCGAGATGTTCAAATTTCTTGGAATTATCATTGAGTTTAGAGTCACAAAAGTTGCACATGTCACTAAATCCGGAGATGCTTTTGTCTTCTTAATCAGTTCCAGGGGCTTCAATTGATTCTGCAATATATAAACACCATGTTCGGGTTCAATCAGTTTTAGCACATCAAGCGCATGAGAAGAATTAAAAATAAAATAAGAACATACACGATTTCTAGTGTGTAAGAATTAAAGCTGAAGATTCTGTACTTTTCAGTTGACACAGTGCCGTTATCGTAATGAGATCATGACAAAGCAGGGATGACATAAAGAAAAGGAGGAATGCACCACTAAGCTATCAGTTCATTGGATCAAGTTGGCTCTATAATTTGGAGAACAATGAACAAAGATTAATAAAACACATTAAAAAATATATCACTGTTGTTGAGTTTTTTTTCCCCTCGTGAAAGCTGCACATGCAATTTCATTACTTTGGAAGGGAAACAGCCTAATTATGAAACCGGACAGACTTGTATTGATTTTAGTAAAAGCATTGCATGCACGCGCATTTAAATCTATGCCTGATCATGTGCCCTGCTCCCAAGTAGTTGAGTTTGCTTTAGCAAAGGCTGATATATTATCATTACTAATATTTATGCAGCTCATCAAGAGGCTCTGAAGAGGGAGATAGAGAGACTGAGGCAAGTATATCACCTTCAGAACCTCAAGAAAATGGAAAATGCTGCAGGGCCACCATCACCATCCTCATCTCCGTCACCAAACACAGAATGTGGTGCTAAGACAGAAAAGGAACAACTTCTCAACATCTGAAACCTCCCAAAAAGACTCTCCCAAAGTATGATCAAGTAGCTAATTTTACATCTCATGGAGTGATTCTTTTCATTATTGGATAAAAGATAATTGCAGTGTTTAGGAAGAGATGGGAGAAAAGGATAAAAAAAAAATACGGGGAAACGCTTTCTTCTGCGCCTGTAAGGTATTGAATGGTTATGGTACCACTGATGGGTCAGCGATGATGGGAATTTTTATTAGCCAACATGAAGAAAATATACACTGAGAGAGGCATCACATTGTTAGTGGGAGGCCATTGGGACGCTTCTGCAATCAACTGTGCTGTCACGTGATGTGCTACCTTTAAAGAAGGGGACCACTCAAAGTTTGCATGATTGGTATGCGGGGAAACACATGTGCACCAGTGGCAATCTAAAGAGGGTGGATGAAACTGTCTGCTTTAACTAAATTGTGTGAAGATACAATGAGATCATTCTTTCAGTTTTTTTATCATTGTCTTTGATTCTTTTCTTTCATTTCTTTTTTCTCTTCAACTTGGTGTTCTTTTTTTTTTTTTGGATGGACAGTGTATTGTTAAGTCAAGCTGGAAAGCAATTACTAGTGGGGCCGAGTTGGAATAGATGAAAGGAAGGCAGGCATGTGAGTGAAGGGTCCTCTGGGTTTTGTTGTATTTTTTGTTTTCTTTCTCTTGCAGAGGAGGTCTTCAAAACCTGGATAAATTTGGATTTGTAAAGATTAAGTTCTGATTAATTTTAAAGACTGAGGTTATTATTATGTGAATTAGTAGCTCATAGGGAGCTTTGATGTATTCTGTTACTGCTCTCTTAAAATGTGATAATCTTTGTTTGAAAAATTAATAAAAAAAAATGTAAATAATATCATCATGCGGTATCCATGGGCGAAGCTATGAAGTGCTTTTAGTTGTACAAACTTATTATCACAAATCTTCCCATTTGTATGAGATAACACTTGGGAATCTGTTTTGATCGATGCAAACGAAAAGACAAAGATGTCTTGGGTTTTCTTTTCCTCCGTATGTCATTGAAAAAAAACCTTGATAGCAAAGTTACATATCTTGTTCTATTCGAATGCTTTATTGAATTTTTTGTATAAATGGCTTAATTAAAGTTTTAAATTCAAATGATTTTTTATATTTAAAATTGTGACAGAATAGTTACAATATTGTTTTCAGATTTGGATTTTAATTTTTTTTAATAATAAATTGTGTAGCTCATTCATGATGCATATAATTTAAAAAAAAATGAGTCGTATTATTCTTATCTTATAAATAACATGGTTTATTTGTTAGAGTTTTTATGCTACTATATCGCAGTTCACAAGACCATTGAGAACTAATTTAAAGTGAACTGTGCTAGATGTTAATCCCTGTTGTTATTTAATAATGTGTATTTTTTTATTCCCTCTTATTACAATATAAATTATAATTAACTAATTCATAGTGTTATGAATAATATTAGTTGAATCATAGATTCTTAAAAATATTCATATTTTTTACTTATGCCCTCATTAAATATCTTATATAAGACCCTTAATAATAGTAATTAAAATTTCAATATATGATCTTTTCAAAAACAAATTAAATGAAGTAGGAGTATACTTGAAAAAATAAATATAAAAGTTATTTAATACCTTATATTTAGAACCATGCAATATTTTTAAAAAATATCCTATATTATGATCTGAAGGAAATACCTTTTTAAAAATATTTTATATCCACAAAATCACTTTTTATATGGCAAAAGGATCTAAAGTAAAATTTGCCAACAGCTCCTTCCTCTCATTCATTACTAATATACTCCCCCATCTTGAAACTTGCCTGCACAAAACTACATCGGAGAGGTAATCTAAAGGTTACATCCTTGTCAACCATTTTCTTCTGAAAGAGAAAGAGAATGATTCTAGTCAATCCCATATGTACACATGCATATATATATATATATATATATATGATATGGGTTAGGTATTGCGTGCCAAAATCCTGACTAATATGTTTATCATTGCTGCTGGTTAAATTAAATACCTTCATCAGTAATCGTTGCCTATCTTGTTCCAGGTCGAAATTATTATTAACTGGCCAATAAAATGTAGGATTCAGTTTTTGCAAAACGGAGAGGACAGTAATATTGGGGGATTCGATCTCCCAATATTCCTGGCAATAATTACCCACGTCAGCGTCGGGCGTCGCATTCCATGCTCATCGTCTCAAGGGCTCATCTGAGCCCTTGATTTTATTATCATGTAATTTCTATCATTCATTTTAAATTTTATTTTTTAATATTATGTTATTAAAAAATTTATAAAAAATATTAAAATCTTAATATTAAATATGGATTGTCTCCTGAACTCAACAAGAGATGAATATCATGTTACTCATTTTAACTAATGAGATTTAGACTATTTAAATTTAAAAAATTTTATTTTTATTTTATATTTATCAAAATAAAAATAATAAATACTTTTAATTTATTTATAATTCATTTGGCCGGTGCAAATTTAATCTGAACCATCTAATTTATTATTAAAATTTGTATTTTTTTTATAAATTAATTATTCATATATACTCTGAATAGTATAGATATAATTTAAACAATTTAATTTAATTTTAAAATTTTTTATAATATTTATAAATTAACTATCTAGATGTATTCTAAACAATATAGATTTAATATTAAAAATTTTACATTTTTTTATAAATTTTTATTTTAATAACAAAATATTAAAAATATTGAGTAATAAATTTAAAATAAGCGATAGAAATCAATTAAAAATAAAATCAAAGGCTCATGGTGAATGAGCACGGAATGTGCTTGCCAATGGTCTCAACCTAATTTCAAAGTTTAACTATGTACTACACTTGGTATTGTACTTTGCTGACCAACCACACGGTACTGTACTTGGAATTGGAACTGCGTGGATAAAACATGCAAACGAAAAAGAAAAACCATACTAAATAGTTTGTCCTTCACGGCAACACCTCTGAAGAAAGCAAAAACTAGCATTTAGCATTGACCTTGATGAAGAGTTTCGCTTGATCCTCGACAACCATGCATTAACCTTCCCCCCCCGAACGAATTCTATTTTCTTATGGTCTTCCAGCCTCCCTCTATACAGCGTTCTTCAAAATCTCTCAATTATCTCAAATTCATTTCTTCTTGTTCCTGATCTTGCTCAAACGTGCCTATTCCAATTCCATCACACTCAGAACAGGCCCCCCGTACCAGGAACGTCATTGTAAAGAGGTTCACTGGCTTGTGGACAACGGATCCTGTATTCAGAGAACGCCTTCTGTGTTTCCTTTAAGGCTTTTCTGCAGCCCTCCAAGCGTTTTCCCATCATGTACACTTCCCTCTCAAGCCTATATACTTCCATTCGTCCCTTTTGACTCTCTTCCAGATTTGCCTCACGCAAATGCTCGATCATCTTATCACGATTCTGCAGCTCATTAAGCAGGAGTTGCTGGTTCCACGTAAAATTCTTCACAAGCCTGTGCCTTTGTTACATACATCATTCTAGCTTCTCCCATCAAACGTTGTATGTGCTCCATACACATGTCGAAGTCCACCGGCTTAGCACCCCACAGGCTATCACTTCTCAGTCTCTTGTTCCTAACAGTTGGAGACTGATTGTCATGGTTATCCTGGCCAACATATCTCTTATGACCATTGCCAAAAAGTGACGGTCCAGAATCCATTTGAGCATCTTCTCCATAGGTGAAAAAATCTTCAGAATTGCCGCCCAGCCCATTCCCAGAACTAAAAGGTGTTTGCCCAGGTCCCATTGCCTGAATGAGACTTCCAGAAGGCATTCCCACCGAAGAAATTCTTGGAGACATCCCCCCCAAAAGAATGCACTCATCATCCTCATCCTCAAATTCTTCTTCCTTTGAACTCTTCAGGTCACCAACATTGCATTGCCTCAAGAAAGGCCATTGCCCAGATTCTTCCTTATAATAGCCCTCTACATCCAGAGTGTTCGCTCCCAACCTGCTCCTTTTCCACTTCAAAAATTTCAACATCATCTTGCCACCGGCTCAATTCAATATTATGCTCCCTCAACAACTCCCACTCCTTCTCTTCGTTAATCACCTCAATGTTCACCTTAGAGACTTCTTTGAGCAACTCCTCATGCTGCGTCTTAATCAAATGCTGCAAATGCGATGCATAGTAACAGTTCTCTAGCTGTGAGGCTTTCAACTCTTTGTCCAACGTGCACCAGATCAATCCTGCCCAATCAATCATTTCCAAATGCCCTTCCTTGATCAACTTCATGCAAGCCAAAACCTCGGGAGGCATAATACACGCATCATGGTGTAAAAGCATCTACGTTGACACTAATTTTTCGATGAAAACCACTGCTTTCCCCAATGTTAGCACGTCCACCACATTTTCTGTTGAAGCCATAGTGTGTTCCATTGGTAACTTCAAGTACGCCCCTAGTCCTCCCTGTGTCACCATTATCTTAATCCCATTCACGTAACCGCCGCGCAAGTTAGGTGTATAATTGGCTATCAATTGCACTAGAAGATCGCTACGAATACCGGTATCAAACTCGACATGAACAAAGTCCCAAAGCCCGAGTCGCCTCAGGGTGACTCGCGGCTCTTGAAATCAAGGGCTTCAGAGGGTATGAATGGAATGGGTTTCAGGGATTTGACCGGAACTAGGAGCTTCTCCTCATCAGTAGACAGCTCTGGATTTAATTTATTCCGCTTCAGTCCCCGGTGGCAGGCAGTGGCGGCGACGGAATCAACGGTTTGGGGAGAGGAAACCAAATACCCTTGTGGATTCTCATGGAGTCGAGCAAATAGGTCAGAGTTCTGATCATCAAGACATGGGGTTTCGGGGAATTGGGAATCAGAATGTGTGATTTTATGGTATCCAAACGACTGATCTAAAAGGTCATTGTTTCGAATGGAAGCTGAAGATTTGAGATGGGGCTAGGGGGGCTTTGGAATGGAAGCTGAAGATTTGAGATGGAGTTAGGGGGCTTCTAATGTGTGTTTTTTTTTTTAATATATTTTATAATATCTTAATGTCTCAATTTCGTTTTTTATTTTTTTATCATTAATTTTTATATAAAATAAAAGATATTTAGATATTTTTTATAATTTTTTTTAAAAAATATTATAAATACAGCTTTTTATTTTTAAAAATTATAAAAAATATAAATTTTTATTATTTTGAGATATCAAAATATTCAAATATCTCTTATTTTATGTAAAAATTAATAATTTAAAAAAAAAAAAAATAAAATTAAAACATTGAGACATTATAATAGATATTAAAGAATAACACAATAAAAGCCTTCAATCTTTTAAAATGGTAACTTGCCAACCTCTTAACCAAGCAAAAAAGGCTATTTATATATTTCGAAGAGGAGGCCGTCGTCCTTTTGTTTGCAAGCTCACGATTTTATCATCAAATGTTACGTATATTATCTTTTAGGCCGAAAAATTACGTATGTTATCTAGAAGGGTCTAATTCACATATAAATACAGATATCAACAAAAATGTATTTCTTGTTTTAGTTGTTTAAATTAAATACTGAATATTATTTACTATTTATAGAATAAATTGATAAAATTTTATTTTTATTTTATGGGCCATAATCTTTCGAAATGAAATAAGATAAGATAAATTTTAAATTTAAATCATCTTAGTTCATTTTAAACAAAATTTAAAAAGAACAAGGAAGCGACAGTAACGTATTGAGGATAGGTCTTGAGGATAAATTATAGAGGAAAATTACAACCCCATCCTTATAAAATATATAAATGATAACTTAATCCCTTGAAATGTCATAATTTTCCTAAAGTCTCTAAGAACTTTTCTATTATTAATAAATTTATATAAATTATTAAATTGTTCTTGCTAAAAATAAATGATTCGTAATTTTTTCTTATATTTACAATAATACAATAGTAAATAAGGAATTCAAACACAAAATTGTAATTTTTTGCATTGTTGTGAATTTAAGAAGAAAAGTTGTGAATATAAAAAAAAATTTATAAATCATTTATTTTTAACAAGAGTAATTTAATAATTTACATAAATTTATTAATGACAGAAAAGTCTCTAAAGACTTTGAGAGAATTATGGCATTTTAAAAGATTAAATTATTATTTATATATTTTAAAAAAATTTTATTATCATTTTTTAAATTATATCGTGTATATTTATATAAAACAAGAATACGACGTGTAATCTATACAAAATAGGAAATATTATCTAAAATTAATCACAACAATCACAATCAATATAATAAAGTCAGCATACTTGAAATGGAAACTATTCTTCTGGAAAATTATAAGTAAATTATAAACTCATACTTAAATTATAGTAATAAATAAATAAATTAATTAATTAATTAGAGTTGTAAGCTAGATATTTGATTCGCATGTGAATAGTTGCCATTTTGAGGTATGTCATCACTACAGTTTTCGCTTAATATATCAATAAAATTCTCATCTAATTTATCGGAGATAAATTCTGATTTAGTTGGGAATTTTTTAAGCGTAAGGACGAGTTGAAATAGTACTTATATCTAAGTTAATTATTAATCAATCAAGGGCAGGCTGGTTAGGAAGTGGCCTTATTCATCCAAGTTTATCTTCATCTGTTCAAGTTTTGCTCTTTGATGGATCCATTCCTATTGTGCACAACATGCTTTATCTGATACTGCCGTGCAAATCAACAACATGCAAAACTGGTATTTCTCTGCAGCAGCATTCACAAGCTTCAGATTTAACATCGTCATCCTCGACATTAATCATTTGCTCTGTAAGTTTCAACATCATCTCTATCAAGTTGTCCAGGAAGATTTCTTTTACTTTGTTTTTAAACTCTCCTTAGTTGTATTGTAATGCTCTACCTTTATTTTTTTTACTGTGCATTGATTAACTTTTGTCATAATATCAAAAGAAGAAGAAGAAGAAGAAAGAGAAATAATAGTTACATAACATGTAATAGTATTATTAGTTGATCATTAGCACAGTCTGACAACTTTTCTAATGATTTTTTTAATCTTCACTTTTCTATTGATTAATACCTGGTCAATAAGTGCAGTTATAACTAAACACGATACAATACAGCGTGGTTAAATAAAAACAGTGTCAATTATTTTATATTATTGAACTTTAAGATGTTAGTTAGTTTTTTTCTTCAAAGACAAAATTGATTTTCAATCTAAAATCAATAAGAAGTTAACAGTCAGCGTCAATATCATTATTCAACGAACAACTCTGACACTTAAAACCCCATATTCCTCTAGTACATAACTTGGAATAATAATTAGTCATAACGAAATAGTTTAAAGTTGAAATACATTCTAACCCTTGAACAAAAATATAAATATAAATTGATATTAGAGTACCAATGATGTAAGACATATCACACAAGCTTGGGGCACTCAACCACTTGAACTATCTATATGATAATCAGATTGCTCAACTTTAAAATTACTTCACCGCCGAGTACTAGGAGCTAATTTGATTGACAAAGCAAGATTAATTACGCTATGGCTGGTGTAACTCCAAACTAGGATTTTGGTGGTCTAAACTGAGATTTGGATCTTAAAAGTCAAATTTGATTCAAACAAAAAAAAAATCGATTCATGTAAAAAAATATAGGAAAATGACTTTTGACTCGAACTCAATGATAGGATAGAAGATTTTATGTTTTTTTTTTTTAGCATGACAATATATATTAAGATACAAGGCAATAATTATATTGCAAAGAAATGTTACAGAACCAAAGCATCAAAGAACGACCATGCACAAGAAGAAACTAAATACAAAGGAGAAGACATCCTCCTGGAACTTTCATGTTTATTTATCAAGATATAAATCATGTTAAATTGGTTTTATAAAGAAAGAATATCCGAACAGTAACCAATTTTTGTAACTTTAGTTTGCAAACTTTGATTCTAAGAACTTCAATTTTACAAATTTTAATCCAAAACGCACGAAAGAAATCGACTGCTATAGATATTTGAGGCAGATTAATCTGAAAATTGATGACCAAACCTTCTTCTTCTTCTTCTTCTTCTTCTTCTTCTCCTCTCTCTCTCTCTCTCTCTTGAAGTCGATAGATTGTGTGAGTTTCATAATGAGATGCATTAGAGAATAGAGACAAAGGACGATAAAAGTGACAAAAACCTTCATGAAATTCGGCTAAAAGTTTATAAAAAATGGCTGGGCTAAAAAGTCAGGCCCAGATTGAAATAACAGTTGCTAGAGGCCTAGAGCCATACACTACCCCTTGTACTTATCAGGTATCGGCTCAGACAGTTTAAGCATAAATATCTTTGAAAGAAGTATTTTCAACTAGATCCAAAAATACTTGAATCTAACTTGATTAAGCAGTCATAAAGAAAATAACATTTTCCATTCTAATTTATAAAATACCTTTGAAGGTGATTTAATGTTATGAAATATAAGATATTTTGATAAAATAAAATTTTATTAATGATGATTATTCAATATTACTCATATTTATTTCACACATTAAATAAATTATTTCCACTTCTCTCTTATTAACAGAGGGTGTTTTTGAAAACTTACAGAAAATTAACATTAAAAATTGTATTTAATAAATTTTATTAGTTGTGTAATTGTACAAAAAATACTTTATAAATTGAGATAAAGGGAGTGTAATATAAGTGAGAATGTTTTAAATTTTAAGACTCAGAAAACTAAATAATTTCGTGATAGCCAATATTTTCAAATGTCAATAGATAAATCTAGGAGTGGTGATGATGATGATTTTGAAAGCACGTGGATGATAATAATTAATAATGTGAGAAGTGCTAGGTGCAAGAGAATTTGGAGAATAACAAACACAATACTCAGTCATATAGATTTGTTAAATTTTACTTTTAATATTTATAATTTATTTAATATTTTTAATCTCTATAAAGATTAAAATTATTAAAAAATAAAACCTATAAGAACTTAAAAAATAAAGATCCCTTAATATTTTTAAAATTATAAAAATTATAGAGATTAAAAAACAAAACTCGATAAAATTATAAAGATCAAATATTATATGTTTTCTTTGAAAAAATCCATCAAAGAGAGCTTAAATTTTAGAGAAAATAGTAACTAAGGACCGCTGAACAAAATTTATATCAGTTAAAAATTACTTGTTATTAAAATTTAAATAAAAAATGAATCCAAATAAACTGTTAATTTAAAATAAGTTATTATTAAAATCTAATAAATACTTATTCATAAAAAATTAACATAAATAATTAATTCTGACTAATACTCCCTCTATTTAAAAATATAAGATCTTTTTTGAGAAGTTTGATATTAAAAAAT